GCGCTCTAGCCAGGCCCTCGCATTCCGGAACTGAGCTGCCACAGGCCGCTTCAGCCTCCAAACCCGGGAAGGCAGAAATGTGGCCGCCGCCCACCGTCTCCGGTCACACTCCTGTACGAGGTCAGTCTCCAAGGCAAGTGCACTCCACAGCGAGGCGCTCCAGTCCCGCCGGCCGTCCCCAGACCGGGACCTGCTTGCCATGCAGGGCCTTCAGGAAAACCGCGACAGGGTGGACACCCAGCGGCTCTGAGAGCTGAATGCTAAACAGCGGAAGAGGCTGACCTGGGAGCTAAGTTATGGGACCAGCTACTGATCAAGAGGGAGACAGACCTGTGCTCCACCTAATTTATAAATTAATACCAGGGAACCTCCCGGCTATTCCAGAACAGACATCAGAACGGAAGAAGTGGCCGATCCCTACAAAGCAGGCCGGGAAGCAGGCAGCCCAGCACTGTGCGCATGAGGCCCAGGCCCTGGGTGACAAATCTGTGCGGCTACTCGCTGGCTCTAAGGGACTGCACTGCTCCTGCCTCGGCTCCAAGGCACATTCATCTAAAGCATGAGAGTTTTCTGAACTGAGTTAACTGCACGAAGACCTGATAACTGCTGGCTACCCCTCTTATAAGGGTGCGAATCTTCTGACTTTCCACCGCACGCTACTAGACAGGTTACAGTAATATCTCATTCTTCTTCCTAAAGATGAAAGTCATTCACTAGGTCTGTCACTGGCTAAATCATTCCGAGAAAAGGAGGGGGGAGAGAAACCGAACTCATACACCACAGTGAGAATATAAACTGCTACAACTTTTCTAAGTGGTAAATTGGAAATATGTATCAAAATCCTTAAAACTTAGCATGTACGTTGATCCTGCAAATACACTTCTAGAAACTTCTCTAAGGATGAAAATCTCACTAGTATATATAGAGCAGAGATGTGTGTAGGGGTGGAGAGTCACTGCTGAGTTACTAGTAATAATGGGGGCAGGGGAGTAAACTTATAACAAAAATAAACTGCTTAAGTTATCCAAGCTCCACACAATGGAATGTTCAGTAACTAAACTATTGTAACTGATAATACAGACACAGAAAGATTCAGATGTTAAGCAAAAACAAAGACAGGCTAGAATTATATATGTGTATAGCAAAAGCCCATATTTGTTACCAAAAAATTATATTTTAAAAACTACACACACTCACACACAAAAGGATTTGATGTTTGATGAGATATGCACTCAGGTAGTGGACTTATGAGTATTTTATAGTTTTCAACTTTTTACTTTTCTGTATTACAGTTTTTCTACCATAAACATGCATTTCTTTAAAATACCAGGGATATTAGCTGATCATCATAAACAAATTATCAGTTTGGCTCTGAAATATACAATGAAGCTAAAAGGATGACAAGTTTGTTGTCTTAAGTACTTAGCAGTATGCAAACTTTATTATTCTCCCCATTTTTAACTGAGAAAACTGAGGCATTGAGGGGTCAGATGACTAAATGAAAGTCCTTCCTACTCCAAAAGAAGGAAGTCATGGTCATATAGTATAAGAAACAAAATTGGAAAATGTGCCAATTTTCTGTATTTTTGGAAACCAATTCTTATAGCATTATGTTGGGCTTATACACCTTATAAAGTGGTATTTGACACAGTGATAACATAGTAATTTACCACTATACTGTGGCTTAAATTTACATTTTGAGTTTCTAAGCAAATGTTGCGAGGAGCCTTCTTTCCAGCGCATCACCTTGAGCGTTCTACGCATGGGAAAGGTTGTCTCCTCGCAGAGCCAATCAAGTTCACGGAAGTGACTGGGGTGTAGTACTTGTGGCTCTTGTTTCCACAAGCAGTGACTACGAAGTGATAAAAACAATTTTACAAGAACAGGTTTTAAAATGTGTCTCACGGCAATGTAGTTCACTCATAAATACTAAAGTGAGCGCCTCCGACACTATTCTAGGCACTGGGGTACAATGAGGAACCCAAGCGTCTGCCCTGGGAAAGGCGTAGTACAGGTAGTTACACATTCGAAGGTCGTAGTTTTTCTTAGCGGCCCAAGGTAAAAAAGCATTGCTACTCGAAAAACTTGCTATATCCACTTCCAGAGACGGTTTTAGGAAATACTCAGTGAGAGGGGAGCATGACACCACCGAGAGTCTGATTCTGAGGGGAGATGACAGATACCCGTATTTTGAACAAGACCCTCAGCTAATGCAGCTGGAAGTGATCTGAGGTCCAGGCTTGGAGAAACCCACCAGGAACTAGAGCCATTCAGAAGGGAACCAGCATTCAGAAGACAAAAACTCTAGAGCAGTGGAATTTGAACTGAGTAATAAACCCAACCCTCCTGTGATTAATTCATTCTCTGTTCTGGTCATTGACAACTCTAGCAGATTAAAAGGATGGGTTAGAGTAGAGGAACTTACCAGCACCTCCTCCTTAACCTCTTATAGGAGATTTAAATTTGCCTCAATCTAGGCATTTGGGGGAAAGGTGAGCTTAAGTAGAGGTCTACTACCCATATTAGAGGTAAGCATTGAGAAATAGAAAGTCGCCAGTCATCTGCAAAAAAAAAATGCTAGAGGGACAAACATTTTGCGGAACCAACTACTACCACTCGTTTTATGCCCCATTTCACAATGCCTGGTATCTGAACAAGCCACAGGGTCCCGAAGTACATCAAAAACCTGTTCGTTTCCTCTCCTACTCAGGCAGAATAATAATGGTTTTGTGAAGGTACCATGTCCCACAGCAATTTCAATAAACTCATTCTTAGATTTAAAAATGCCTTTAAAGAAAAGTTCAATCAGAAACTCCTTATTGGAGCTGCTTAAGGAGTTTCACAAATCGTTTTAATGCCGTCACTCTTGTCCCGTATTTCTCAATGTAGATTACTTAAAAGTTCCCGAGTTCTTATCAAACCTCCTACAGAAAGAATTCAATATTTTCTTTTTTTTAATTTATCTTTATTGTTGAAAGTATTACAGATGTCCCCTTTTACCCACTGACCCCCTCTCTCAGTATTTTAAATATATATGTATACATACAGCTACAAGCAAACCCATCAAGACAATATAAATGTTTCAAGTAAACTATTAAAGTGAATTAAAAGAAAACTATAGTTCTCAGAGGTAGACAGAAATCATAACTTTGAGGGGTGATTAAGCACCTTCAGTCATCTCAGGACAAGGGCATCCCAACAAAAACACGCCTAGTTAGAGGTAAGAGCAGCACCCCATTATCCAGCTGGGCCCGGTTCCTGCCCCCACCTAACGCGGGAGCTCCCCGCGCCTGCCCCTCATCTGTGCAAAGGGATTAGCGAACTGCCTCCCGCTGCCCGAGCTGAGACTTCCAGGTGCATTCTATTATTTGTCCGGCATTTGTTTTATTATCTACACGTTTGATCGGACCTGTTTCCATGATGTGCCCGCCTTTGACCGCGCAGCGCAGGATGCTGGCGGAGAAGCACAAAGAAGCGCATCTGTCCGGGAGGCATCTGCGTGCGATTTCAGGCCGGCGCTGCCCGGACTAGCGCGGGAGGCGAAGTTCCCCGGGAAACTTTCCCACCGGCGGCTGCCAAACCTCCGCCGCCTCCAGCTGCAGAGCCGGCCTCGGTCCCTGCAGCGCAGCCTCCTGCGTGCGGCTCACACAAAGGATGCCCGCAGGACGCATGAGCCGCGAAGTTGCTCGCGGATCCAAAGGCCACCCCACCACAGTGCCACCCACCCGCTCCTGGCGGGTTCCTCTCCCTGCGGTTCTGATCGCAGTTCCCCGTTCCAGCCGGTCCGCACCGGGGACCCTGCGGGTGCGCGGGGAAAGGAGGCGGACACCGGGGACGCGCTCCCGGCGCGCGGAGGGACCAGCCGCCAGCCCGGGGCGCGGTGCAGCCCGCCGGCCGGCACCCACCGCCCTGCACGGACCGGGCTGGGCCGGCGCACGAGGAGCCGGCACCCGAGGCCGGGCAGAGGCGGGCGGCGCGCGGCCGCTCCCCGCGGGCTCCGGGTCCCGGGAGGCGGGCGGGGAGGCGAGGCTTGGCCGGCGCGCCGCGCTCCGGCGGCCGAGGGCAGCGAGGTCAGCCCTGGAGGACCGACTGCCCCCCGGTCCCCTGGGGAGGGAGGGACCCTGCTCGGCCGACTGGGGCTGCGGACACCCATTCAACCCAAAGCCCGTTCCGCGGCCGCCACCCCTTCCGCGCGCCGCGGCCCCTCGGCCTCCCGGCGCCCGCCAGCCGGCCGCCCCCGGGAGGATGGGAAGGACGAGGCGAGGGGCCGCCGTGGCCGCGCCTCCCGGGCACGCGGCAAAGGCTGAAGGGCGGCCCTCGGGACGGGAGCCCCGGGCGGCCATCGCGCCGACCCCCGCGCGGACCCCCGCCCGCCGCGTCCCCGGCCCAGGCCGCCGCCGTGCAGCCCGCTCCTCACCTCATCTCCGGGCGGGTCCGCGCTGCCGCCCCCGGGACAAATCAGTGCAGCTCACTCGCCGCGGGGAGGGACGCAGGAGCCGCGGCCCCGCACACCATCCCCGCCCGCCCGCCCGCCTCTCCGGGCGTCCCCGAGTCCGCGAGGGGCTCTCCCTCGCGAGCCGCCGTACTACGGAGCAACCAAGCTGCGCTCCCTCCCTCTCTCCGCTCCTCTCTACCTCCGTCGCGCCCTCCCTCGCTCCCTCGCTCCCGCCTATCTGCTCATCTCGCTCCGCGGCCTGCCCCGCCCCTATCCCCCTCCGACTCCGCCCACAGGTGGGTGGGGACAAGCAGCCTCCAATCGGAGGAAGGGGTCCGCACCTCCTCACCGCCCCTCGCCTCTAGCACCGCCCACCTAGGGAACCCATAGAGAGGGACCAATAAAGATGAAAGAGGACGGAATGACATTCCAGTAAACCAATCAGCTAGCTCCAAGGGGGCGGGCATAAGCGTCTTCTTCCCCGCCCCCTTTCCAGAAGGCGTAACCACAAGCTTCTGATCTGGGATCAGTGCGTCTGTCCTTTGCCACGCGAGACACTAGTTAGGATGCATTCAGCTAATCTAGTTAAGGAAGATTTTAAAGAAGAGAATAACTAAGGCAAAAAGGGAGGCGGGGCACAGTCCAAGGAAGGTGGTAGGGCAAACGGTTGGAATGAAAACTGGTGTGGTCTTTAACTGAAATTTGCATAAAACGGAACCCTCCAGGTGACTACAACTTCACCCATTTATTGGTAGCCCCTGTGCGCCACCGCTCCTCGCCTCCGAGCAGAGCATGCCGGGAGATGTAGTTCCGAGTTCGGTTGCTATGGCGGTCTCGACAGCTCTGAGAGTCCGGGAGTGACGAGCGGCCTGGCCAATGGGAGTAGGGCCTGGGCCGGCGGGGGCGGGCTCTCTGCAGAAGGACTCGAAGGTGGCAGCGGCGAAGGGGCAGGCCGTTACAGCCTCTCGGAAGCAGGTGAGTCCCGGTTAGTTCGTCGTGTGTCTCGGGAAATGCGGCTTTGGACGAAAGGTCGATAGGCGCCCCGCGTAGCCATCCAGCTCTGCGGCGGGTGGCGGTTCGCGCCGCACCGCAGCCTCAGATGCCCTGGGGCCCAGGCCTAGCTCACTTAGCTGAGGCCGTCGAGGGGCGGGGAAGACTTGATCTGTCTCGCGATTTCCTTCCTGCTCCTTCCTTACAGGTTTTCGCTCTGTTTGCTTCTCCCTCCACATTGAAAGGAGGCAAAAGTCTGCAAGCTCCCTTCCACGGAATCTCCAGGCTGGTTTTCCCCCACCTGCCGCATTTTGTTCCTGTAATTTGAGTTTCTTTTTCCTTCTCCCTTAACTCCTCTGCCACCGCTGTCTACCCCTTCACTTTCCTTTCTGGGAGCAGTTCCCTAAAGAAAGCGAGGGTATTGGCATTTATGTGACTCGAGGGCCAGAACTGCCCTCTTCAGCTCAGCAGCTGGTACCCTGGAGCCAGCGTGAGAACCACCTGGCTGGCTGCACGTTCAAGTGCAGATGTGGTTCAGGGGCGGGCGGGGCCTGGGACCCGCCTTTCCACCGAGCTCCCAGGTGCCGCTTCCTCATCAGCTCTGTCCAAGCATGTGTAAGGCGAGCCACTTAGGTCACTTTACATTTTGTGATACCCATAGTTTAAAAAGAAACATGAAAAGAAGCACGTGCAATTAATTGTAATGTTTTATTTAGCCCAGTATTTCCAAAAAAATTATCATTTCGACAATAAACGTTTTTAATTGAGATATTAGACATTCTTTTTTTTTCTTATTGTCTTTGAAATCTGATGTGTATTTTACATTTACAGCACACCTTAATTCCGACTAGACTCAGTTCAAGTGCTCCTTAGCCACCTGTGGCTAGTGGCCCATCCTTGCTGGGCAGCGCAGATCCCGATGACACAGCTGCCCCTGCAGAAACTCAGAGGTGTTCACGCTCGGGTTGCATGTGACCAAACCCTTTGAGATGGGCATCAGGACGACATTAGAGGTTCTCTGCCCAACTTACAGAAGTAATAGTAACAATAGCCAACACTTACAGAGTGCTTTGCATATGTCACTTAATCCTTATTGCAACCCTGTGTCAGAGCTACTCTCTCTGATTTATAGATTTGAAGGTTAAAATTAAGTAGCCCAGAGGCATATAGCTAGCAAGTAGGAGAACCAGGATTCAACCGCTCAGCTATGATTTCTGAATCCTATCTGTCAACACTCAGAGTATGGTTACTATCTTTTATCACTAATTTCATGTCATTGGTGCCTCTGCTCCAGTTTATGGCAGGGGATGAGTTGTTCAGATTTGAAACAAAGGATTCCCTGTACAAGGTCAAGTTGCCTGTCAGTTGCACTGAAATATTTTGGTAGTTTTACAACTCTCAGTGCTGTGTATTCAAAATCAAAGTTCTGGATTGAAGAAGGGTATGAAAACCATTGAGATGTTTAGGCCTGTGAGGAGGCCCTATACCTTGGGCAGCAGTATGGTGTCTTGATCCATTTGTGTACTTCCATAAAGATGGGAAGATTCGGGAATTCTTAACATGTTTCACTATGGAATCATGGTGTGTTTTTGTTTCTGGTGAAATCACTTTTTAATTGGTAAAAATTAATGTTTTCTTGCTCATGTGAACTTCACATAGAATATTTCAAAGACAACTTTACTAGTGATTTTTCTAGACGCAGTGAACTTGGAACTAAGGAGAGGTTTGTGAATAGAAGAGTGAAAGTACATATATCTACACATGCTAAAATATGGTATTTTGCAAAATAATTTTCTTCTAACTTTATACATTATAATAAATGTGACATCTTGTAAATTATTTCTCTCGATGGTGAATTTATTAGTAAATATTTAATCAGAATTGCAATTTCTATCTTGCATCTGAAGCAAGAGATGGTTTCATTAAGATGCTGTAGTGAGGTCCTGGTGGGGTAGCTCAGTTGGTAAGAGTGTCGTCCTGATACAGCAAGGTTGCAGGTTCGATTCTTGTCAGGGCACATACAAGAATCAGCCTATGAATGCGTGCCTAAATAAGTGGCTCAACAAATCAGTGCCCCTCTCTCTCTCTCTCTCCCTCTCTCTCTCTCTCTCTCTTCCCCTCTCTTTACCCTCCTCGCACCTTCTTTCTCTTCCTTCCATCCTCTCTTTCTAAAATCAAATGGTTTTTTTAAGATTCTGTAGTGAGTTGAAAAATTAAATAGGCATTTACAAACTGCAGTAACAATAGTGGAGGAGACTGGCTGAGTCAGTTGGGGGAGGGAAAGTGGGGTAGAGATTCGAAGATCCCTCCGTTGTCGCAGGGTCACATGACTAAGCCAGCATAAGGAGACTGTCAGTTGGCTCCATTGTTTCCATGGCACACTGGAGGAATATGTGATGCTAACTAGTAAGATAAATGAAAGTTACGTTTCTGTTGTTCTGGAACTTACTATATTAAATGGCCTTACATTGAATAGTCACTGGGCCAAAGATTTCCGTTCCTTAAAACAATGACCATCCCACCCCCCACCCTCCCCAACCCACCTATTACTCACCCCCTGGAGGTAGTGGCAGGGGAAAGCCTCCAATAAGAATCCTAAGTGTAGATCAGTCAATAATAAAAGTTATGCTCTCTTGGAGGCAGGAGAGAATGAAAAATTTTTTTGAGATCCAGAAGTCGGGAGCCACTATTCCAGACAGACATGTTTGAAACCACTTGTTGCACAGATAGGCAGCGATTTGACATCTGCAAGCAAATGCCTTTTCTTTTCTTTTTTGCTTCTGCCTAAAGCCTATGTCAAAAAAGAAAAATTATCCTTTCCTAATTCTTCACCTATCTTTCGCTCTCAGGTTGTGTGAGCTATAAAGATTATGCCTCAGGCGTGTGAACTCAGTTGAGTATGTCTTAATAATGCTCATAGCAATCTAATTGTCATAATTAGGAGAGGATTTAAGGTGGCTTCCCAGCCCTCTTCCCCCTCAGCTGAGGCTGGGGTCCCCTTTATGATGCCGCTGTGACCACGTGGCCAGTCTCTGTGAAGCCCTCCAGTAGGGACCGTGCAACCCCATGTGTTTTCCTACGTGTAGATTACATACCAAAAGGGGATATAGAAGCTCTTACAACATGTATCAACTAGAAATGCTTCCTCCGGCCAGCCAGGCGTGAACCCATCTCGTGTCTCCCGTGCCCATCTCGTGACTGTCGTGGCCCATCTCTGCTCAATGCTTATGCAACGTGTCCTTAGAGTGGACGGGATTCTAGAGACCGTTGCCTCCACGGTGTAGAGCCCTCCGTGAAGGCCACGCAGCACCGCCTTCCGAGAAGCAGAGCCGCCCTAGCCAGCTAGGAGCACACGCTTCACCACCTGCGAAGGGTGGGATTTAGGCCAAACTCCATCTAGTGACTTTGATTTGCTGACCATATTTTTTAACCAAATATTTGGGCACAGGGTTGACATACTTCTTTACCTGATATGTGGATAGTATGAAAAGTCTCACAGGTTAGTGAGAACACTATTAAAACTTAACATTGCCCTGGCTAGGTGGGTCAGTTGGTTAGAGTGTCATCCTGATATACCAAGGTTGCAGTTCAATCCCAGGTCAGGGCACGTACAAAAAGCAACCAATGAAGGCTTAAGTATGTGGAACAAGAAATCCATGGTTCGTTCTCTCTCTCTCTCTCCCTCTCTCTCTCTCTCTCTCTCTCTCTCTCTCTCTCTCTCCCCGCCCCCTCTCTCTTCCCCTCTTCCTTTCTCTCTAAAGTCAATCAACTAAAAAAATCACCTTAACATCTAAGTCATCTCTTCAGTGTAACTGAAGATTTCTCCCTCCAGCTATATCATGCTGCAGTGCACCAGTCCTGGCAGAGCGATGAGCTCTGGGGCCACATTTGGGGGTTGATTTATCTGTTGTTCTGTAGCCTGGCTGCTTGACAATACCTATGCTTTCCTTAAAACAAAATGAGGGTGGGTCAGAGATCTTATAACTGAACCCTGAACCGGAAGTGGCCACAGTATTACAAAGTTGGTGTCGGGGAGCAGTAGAAATTTGAGTATATAAAGAGTTGGACTTTCGGGAATTCAGTTGTCCACAGAGTAACAGAGGGATTGGATGAGAGAAAGGAAGGAAGCCGTTCAGCGGTGGTGGCCATAGCCCAGGCCTGAGGCATTACACTTAGCACATCAGTTGTGCTAACACCCCTCAGAACATAAAATGAGCCGGTGAGCTAGGATCCCAAAAGAAAAGGGAAGGTTTATGTCCATAACATCATGCAGAAGAAGGAATGGCGACAGACTCTCAGGTATCCTGATGACTGAAGAAGGGCACAGCAAATCTCATTTTGGAGAAAGATGAGTCCAGTTTTATGCCTCTTGAATGTGAGGTTGACCTGATACTCAGAACACTTTTGGTCTGAAGGTGTAGATAAGGAATGATCTGTAGAGGTTTTATTTACAATTATTAATAAATGAGCTGCTTAGGGGATTAAGTGTAGCAGGAGAGCAAGTAGAGTTCATGTTGCTGTTATAACTAAGATGATGCCACTGGAAATGTCTTCCCATCGATTCTTTTTAGAATTCCTTAAAAGATCAGTACTTTACTAACTGCTTTTTTTAAGTGTTATTTATAGCAAATGTTTCATTTATTCAAAGTCCCCTGCTTTGTACCAAAAATTATTAAAAATAGGTGTCTTAATTTTTGTTTCTCCAGATTTTCTAATAGGTTTCATGTGGACCATTATAAATGTATAAAGTATTACAAACATAATCCTCAATTTGTAGACTTATATTCAACATATTTAAAATCTAATGTACCTGGAAAAATTAACCTATTTAAAACTGTACATTATTTTGCTTTTTATAGGGCATATCAGCCTACTTTAAAAAAAAAATATATATATATATATATATATTGCAGTTCAATCCCAGGTCAGGGCACGTACAAAAAGCAACCAATGAAGGCTTAAGTATGTGGAACAACCAAGGTACA